CGTACTTTTGGGTGCAGCCAATTCGTCTTGGAAAATGCACTGGGGTGCGAAATGTGATCTGTATTGAGCAGGGTAGGATTCCGCAGGGCTTACAGACCTTCTAGTAGCCCACTGTAGTAGCCGGGCAGTGCCTACTTCGAGCCCAGGGGGTGTCAATACAAACCCAAAAAAGGTAATAATCGGATATGATTGGCTGAAAAGGGAGACAAATCGCAGTTTCAAACGAATCATGGGTCGATCTCTTGCTGGGGTGTGCAAGCCCCAGTGCTATCTTGGCACACAAGGATATACATTTTGATATAAGAGTATATTTGGATATACATTTTCGTCTACTTCACACTCGACATTTTCAATTAGCACACAGGTCTCGAAAATATAGGAAAAGCTTCGCTCGAATGTCTCCTTGGTTGTACTTGTTTTTACTATGTGGAGGCAATTGTCACCCCCCTGACTTCGAGCCCGGTGGACAGCGACGTCTCACATTGCTTGCTTTGCACCACGGCGCCACGAGCGACGCACAAGCCATGGAAGCGCTGAGAAGCACGACGCGGGTGATGCACCCAATCCCCTGATTATGTTTTCACAACGAATTGGCTGCACGTGTACAGTATTTTACTGGAAGATACGCGTTTCTTGGTGCGAAGCTTATTGACTCTTAGTTTCCTTTTTGATAATATTGGAAATGCGCCACCGTTGAGCTGAAAGTGCCAAGTTAGCAGGTCGACGGAGCGACAACGTATACGACGACGAGATCTCGTATTTGGAGAACGTATCGTACACGCCCTCGGGCTCGATCGGGTCGTCCATATCGCAAAATCAAGTGGTATAAACCAACGAACAGAATCATTATGTTTGAAATAGTTGGCAACAACACGACATCCAAGGACGCAAATCGCTTTACTTGCTCACGAAACTCGCGATGGCGGCGTCGATCTGCGCGTGGCCAGCGATAAGCGCCGGTGAGTCCGAGGCACGGGGCGTGTACATGTCGCCGCAGTGCGAGACGCCCTCGATGATGACGGCCTTGGACGTCGGGTTGGCGAGGTGCGTCGAGTTGGCGACCGAGAGCGCCGACCACGGGTCGATGGTGCC